TTTTTCACTTACTGTTTTCCTTTCATTATTCCAGCAATAATTATTACCCCCCGTCCTCTCCATTTCGATCGCATACCTCATTATCTTCTGTCCAATCTACACAGAACATTTCTGCACTCTGCTTGTAATCCTCATTCCCGTAATCCACATATCGCAAACGATATCGCTCAACGTCCGTTTCCTTGCTCACCGACTCCCCCAAAACTCCATCTTTACGATCGCCATCTTCACCAATCGATTGTGTTGTCGTTTCGGGTGAACGTGATGCTGACTCGAAACCATCAACGATATCGACCACTTCGGCGCGATACGGAAAATCTTGCCAATTGGTAATAAGTACATCACCGACGTGAAACGAACGATTATCGAGCCGATGAACACCATCAACCATTCTTGATGTCTCGTCATTCTTATCGACCGTCCTTCTATTATACATTCTCTCAATGAACTGTGCACACTGCTCAGCAATCTAAACTATTAAATTTATTCATTCACCAATTTTGCTTGCGAACGTTAGTCAAAGTCAGGCTGAACACTTCGGTCATGGCTATGTTTATATTCAATGAGTGCTATAATGAGCATGCAAGAAATCGCATTGTTGATCCGATAAAAATGACTCGATTGTCAGAAAAAAAAGTGTTTAAAGGGACTCAATTCGGGGCATGCATATTATGATACGCTATAGTATTTAGATCGTCGGTTGATTGGGGCGATGGGGGAGGCAGATATTTTACTACGTGAATAATCAATCTGGAAAGTAATGAACCGTTTCAAGTGCTTCTGAGTCTTGTCTCAACTGAACTGTGAATATGCGCTGAACATTAGCCTCATTGTCAGACCTGAGCACTCGTTGCTCCGAATACAACGGTACCACACGACTTGGCCATCTCACTCGCTTTGTCAAACCCCTTCAACAGCGCAATAGTAAACTATTGCTAAGAACACATCTACAGATGCCAATCAAAATAAACGACAAATATTGTGAATAATCGCAGAAGTATGCATTCAAATCTAACAAAAGCACACGTTCCAGCTATCTCAATCGTTGATGAATAATCACCTCAAAGAGTACCACACCTACCTCTCACACAATGCATCAGATACCGTGCCCGTGGTATCAGCTAACTGCAACTGCACCTCGTAAACATCATTTGCACACTTCCCTTTCACTAACATGCTTACTTCACGCTCTGTTAGTTCCGAGAATGCTCGACAAGCTTCCATCGAGAAGCCTTTCTGCAAATCCAAATCTCACCATTTTGTTCACATTATGATTATTATAGTCAACTAAATTATTACATTTATGTGTGAACTCATTGTTAATTAAA